GCAAGGAGGTTCTCAGAGAGCAGCCGCAGCGACTCCTGAGGCATATTTTAGTTTGCCAAACGCCAAACATTGGCCAGGCTTAATAATTTAGAAACAGTAACAGTAGCCGTTGTGGCAGCAGCAGTAGCAGCAGCAACAACAACAACACCCACCGGTGCGTGCATGACAAATGTTTTGGTACTTAATAATAGTATAATTATGGCAACGTCATAAAACTGTTTAATGACTATGACACATACTCGTACATGAGAATACAGGACAAATGCGAGTGGAAGAGAGACAAAAGTGATGCAGAGAAAGAGAACATAAATAGTAGCACTTACATATTACATATGTACTCGTATGTAGTTAGGCATGTGCCTCACGCACTACGTTTGCGAGTTGCGCCCAAAGCTAACTCATACGCTACGTAAGCCAGAGAAACGGCATAGCGTGTGGCTCTGTTGCGTGCTCAACAGATTCGTTTTAATAGGTGTTGTGAAAATTGCATTGCTTTAATGTGTCACAAAATCTTGGCACTGATTTTTGGCAGGTGTAAATAATTGCTCCCTGCAGAACACTACCAGTTAACTCTTCAGATAATCTTATGTTGTGCCATCCACAGAGATACTTTAATTGTGGAATTTTACTAAAGCAACTTAAGTTCATATTTTAGTTTGATTTAAAAAATTTTTATACCCTGTACCCAAAAGGGTACAAGGGTATATTAGTTTTGTGCGAGTGCACATGGAACACACAGAAGGAGGCTTGGTAGACCCCACAAAGTATATATATTCTTGATCAGCATGACAAGCCGAGTCGATATAGCCATGTCCGTCTGTCCGTCTGTCCGTCTGTCCGTCTGTCTGTCCGTCTGTCTGTCCGTCTGTCCGTCTGTCTGTCTGTATGAACGCAAGGATCTCCGAAAGTATAAGAGCTAGAATAACCAAACTTGGTATACAGATTCTCCTGAGACCGAGAAAGGACGAGTTTGTCCATTTTTTCTGATCCACCCCCCCACTCCCCCCCTATTAACGATTTTCTATAACTCCCGTAATTCTTGGAATTTTGAACTAAAATTTGGTAGTCACATTAGGTTAGTTATTATATAACCGTATACCAAGTCTCATTATGATAGAATGATCGGAAAGAAACTTATAGCCATATAACCAGGCCCAATGCACACATACATACATATGTACAAGTACACAAACACGCATAAGGCACGATTCTGATGTAAATGTAAATGTATGTATGCATGCATGGAATATTTTATATTTAATTTAGTTAATTAATTAAATTAATTTAGTTAATTAATTAAATTTAATTAATTAATTAATTTAATTACTTTTTTGTGGGGTGGTACAGGGTATTTAAGAGTTGAGCCTGCTCGACTTTAGCATTCCTTTCTTGTTTTATATATGAATCATTTTTATACACATTATTGCACGAAACTGGTCAAGAACACTTTAAGAATTACTTAAGATAATATATCCCTAGAATAAAATTGACTTTGAATAAAAAGTGTTTTATATCGCTTCCTTTTACTGTGGAAGTCAGCCAGTCAGCAACTTACAAAATTCCTACCTGTTTTTTTTTTTGCCATATTACATCATTATTTCATATTCTAATTGGCAATCTCTTAGGTATAAAATGTTAGTAATTATAAGTTTGACTAAAAACAATTCCAGTTAAGTACTCATTTATTTAGAGTAGAATCTGACGGTGCATTCGTTTGCCGACAAACGTAGGGAACACATTTTATTATTTATGTCTTCAGGAGCTATGAAAATTAGAAATAGGCAGCAAGTGGCAAACCAAAACGCGCGGCTATGTATGTATGTATGTATCGTAACTGCTACACATATGTGTTTTCTTTTGTGGTAATTTTTGCACTAAGTATGTAGATCGTAAGAAAATTGTGAAAAATAACAGGAAAGAAGAATTATTGCTTTAATCCAAGTAATGGTGACTATAGTAAATGGTCAAAATTAAATCCATGCATATCTTCGAACTGACTATTCAAGCTGAATAAAAGCACCATTTGGTTTCTTACAAATATCTCAAAATTCAATGAGATATAAATACACAAAATTGTCGTTTTATTTATGCGATGAAGAAAAACAATTATCAAATACACATCGGTATTCTACTAAAAATAGGAAAATAAACCATGAAGAGCTTTTATCACACTTGCTGATGAGTTGTTGTTACTGTCTTTTCTGCTTCGTCTTAAATTTATGCAAAATATTTGAAACTGTGCTATAGAAGCTCTGCTCTTCAGCAAGAGAAAAAAATGAATTATCAATTAGTTGGTCAGTAAAGTGCATTTGATATTACTGTTATTGATACTGTCTGCCAACAGCTCCTGTATTTCATTCACTTTACGCTGCAGCAATTCCCCAATTATGGGTTAATTAACCTAGCATTCTTAATTCACGTCTCCGATGAAGCCCAAATCTTGAACTTTTGGAAAAAAAATAAAATTATATTGCTTCGTACCACTTATTCATCTTCATCACCGACGTCTGTGTGTCTCCAACTGTGACTCCTACGAGCCCAATCACTCGGCCTTGTTTATTAATTTATTAAAAGCCAACGCCTGACTCGGCCAATGTGGCGTTCCCTGCGACTCCCAGCGATGTTAAACGCGTCGTAAACCTTGCCGAATTCTGCGCATCCCAGTCACTGCACTGCCTGCAAATGAAATGTAAAGCTGGCGGCACCCAAACAAGCAGCTGAACGGTAGGGAACAAACAAACAAGCCAGTGAACGAATGAGTGGCAAATAAGTCGCAAATGGCGCCGCTGCTTTCACATTTAATGCTCGCCAATAGCTTGGGCTGTATTTATTTAATTTCATTGCGGTTTGCAATCAATGCGATAGGTTTTTGCAGCTTCCTTTTATTGCGCGGCTTTGTTTACTTGTTTGCTTCCGTTGGTATTCAGCGAAGGCATAAAAAGAAGCATCAATTGTGAAGGGGCTTGTGTTTCCATTAGCCGTTCTGTTTCTCTTTTTGTTTCCTCTGATTATTTTGCTTAATACTCATATCAATTTGTCGAAAATTGCTGCTAAAAATAGCAAAAATTCAATTTTCAAAAACTATTTTCCACGCGATTTAACGCGAAATTCACTTTGATATGGCTTTATATGTCTGTTAGGTAGTGTGGGAACGCGAGCCCAAGCCCGCTTATGTGTAAAAAGGGAAATTTAAATCAAATGCTGAGACTCTGAATTTTTCATAGCATACTTTAGTGCGCACGCAAACCGACGCGCCCGCCATGTCAACGTAACTCAATGACTGTAAACCGTGGCTGGGGGAAGGGGTTTGTCTATTTCGCAGTTGTCAAAGCGTTGTCTAATTCCCCATGAGCCAGTCAGCGAGCCGGCAAACACGTGTGTGTGTGTGCTCGCGCTTTGATAAAAACCGAAATTAATAATTAAAGCTGTCGTGGAGCACTCGTTGCCACATTTGCCATTTTACCGCCTGTCGCCGTCTGATGAAAATTTAAAAGGCGTTCGACTAAAAGTAGTTGACGCATTACCAGCGAATTCACAACACACACTCACACGCGTCGTTTACGCTCAACAGCACAGCTTTTATTTGCTTTGAGTGCCAAAGTTGTCAACTTTGTTGGCGTCATCGCCATCGCTGCTTTGTCAACCGCAACTATTTACAGCGGCCCTCAAGTAATCTCAATCAAAATCTTGGCTTTAAACACCCGAAAATCATGTGTGCTCCAGATTTGACCGAATAGCTATCAATTTTTTGTTTGGATAACCTTACATTTGATCTAGAAACGATTTTTTAAAAAATGTTTATATCTGTTTTTAACCAAAAATCTAACACAGTATGGTTGCAGCTATACTTATTTATAAATACATTGTGTGAGTTGTGGGATTTATTGATCTGCAATTGTTTTAAGAAAAATTGTCAGTTTGTGAAGGAAAAGAAAACCAAGAATGTAGTAAAGAATGCGAGTAAAGAAGTGATCTTTGTCTGCGCCAATGCTACGGCTAAGTAAAGTAAAGAAGTGATCTTTGTTTTCATTGTGTCAACAATGAAAGTTTTGCCTTCAAAAGAAATTGATCACAGATGACGAAAATTATAGAGGAATAAAGTTTCTGTTGTTAGGTAGAGTATTGGTTACAAATTTTAGACACAGATGAAAATGGCTTTATAAATTAGTTTAAGTGTGCCAGTTTTGTAATATTATTAGTGTTTCTTCAATTTTCAGGGCAAAAGCAAAGAATAACTTATCGCAGATACGAAAATCAAAGCCTACACAATTTCTCAAGCAAACCTATTTTGCAAATCGTTTTCTGAACAGATTTGCTGCACTTTGCACATTTTTTTTGAAATTTTTACACGTGTGATCATAAGTACTTGATATAATTGATAATTATTATAATATTATTTGCTATATTTTTCATATTATTATGTATTAATAATTGTTTGTTGTATTTTTTGATTTATTATTATTGGCAATTAAAATTATTTGAAGTGGTTACAGGTTTTTCTTTCTTGTTTAAAGAACCATTTCATCCTAAACTTGAAACAAAGTAAAAATGGAGTTCAGGGGAATATTTTTGATAGTGTTTACTTTTTTCAGCTTGATTGCAATATGTTTCCACTTGTGACCCAAATTTTCCAAAACCTCATCTTGTGGCATAGTGGCACCAATCTATTTTACCATTCAATCTCTGATTCAATCATTAACCTGGCATTTTTCCCTGCCTCAAACCATTGCGTTGAGTTTTTGCAGTTATTATTACTGAGAAGCTTGTTCTATGAGGTTCTTCAATACCCGCATAGACAGCAAGTCTTAGTGTTTCAAAATTGTTTATAAAATGCATGAAAATACTATAAAATGAGTGAACAAATGAATGCTGGCAAACACAAGTACAAAAGCAAAAAGCGCAACAAATACAAAGTGGTGGAGGCGATGCGGTAACGGCATCGGCAAACAAATAAACAAACCAACCGCAGCACATACTCGTTCCCATCGGCAACAACAAGGATGCAGCCAACGACGGATGTGAAACGCATGGCGCCAGCCAAACCGCCACGTCTGAAGGCCGCAAATGCAGCTGCAGTGCGTCCGGCAAAAAAACAGTTGCAATTTAAGAGTCCGCTGGTACGTGCAACGCCTGACGCTGCTACTGTTGTTGCCAGCAGCGAAACGATAGCAACAACAGAGCCTGACAAAGTTATTGCTATGCCCGGCGACGGCCAAAGGAGCAGCAGCGGTGGCGGCAACGGGAACGTGCCATCTACAAAAACGCGTCTCGCCCAGGGCTGTAGCAGTTTAATGTATGCGTGTCAACATGGCAACATGGGGCAAGCTCTGGAACAGATACGCGACAAGGTAGGTAAGAAGAACGCTGCCAAGTCTATGTGCCTCGAAAATGTTTAGTTTGAATTTAGTATGAACTGTGGCTCTAAATATAACTTGCGACCATTTTTGGCAACGCCGATAAAGCGTGGCATGACAAGTTGACTTGTATACGAGTATAATATAAAACTTAGAAAGAAAAACCATCAACATCATCATGATCAACAGCAACAGCAACATTTGGCTGCCTTTTTGCGCTGGACAAAAGAAGCAGCAAATCAGGCGAAGGCGCAACAAGATTTTAATCTTTTTGTTTCGCAATGCGTCATCATGAGCTGGCACAAAAACTTAAAGCCAGCCAGTCACACAAAAACCCTTTTTTGCTCTGCCATTGGGGATGGTGGGTGGGGTTTGGTAGGACTTTAAATTTCCGTTGCAGTCATTTGTGCGCATTGTTCACAGTTTATGGCCTAATTGCTTCATAAACATTTTTGTTCAGGCCAAACATACAAAGCTTAGAAGGTCTGCGCTGGGCTGGCTGCTTGCTCATTCATTGTAGAGTCGAATGTGAACGTTGTAAATAGCAGGACATTTAAAATTGACAAAATAATCCTTGAGCTTAGTTATGTCCAAGCAATTTTGGACCAAGCAGTGTTCGGCATGCTTTCTTTAGCATTCGTTCCTTCATCGTTTGTCGTTTGTCGCTTGTCGTTCTGCGCTCAATTCGTTCGTCCATCATGCGCCTAAATATGCCAATTTTACGTTTAATTGAAATTTGAAAAGTTTTTAATTAAACGCAGATAAATTTCACGTACACACACAAAGGCCAGATAATGGCCTACCCTTGGGTAGGAGCGGCCTGAACAGGATTGTGAGGCCGCGTCTGGGGCTGATACTCGTATTCGCATGTTGCTAGTTTTGCAATTATTGGGCAGATATTTGTTCCACTCGACAAATGCCTTCATTTCCGCAATCAGCGAACAGAGAGAAAGGACAGGCCCAGGAACGAGCAAGGAGCAACTGTCATTTGCTTTATTTTCGTTACGTAATTGATATTGAGGCCAACTTTAATGTGAAATTTTAGCATTGACATTGTTTGCGACTACTGTGCCTGCGAGGCTCTGACGTCACTATTATGTAATTGGTAAATGGTATTTAGGGATGCTTAACCTTGGCAGGCAATCAGAATCGCCTGGCCAGCGGTTTATTTGCCTGTGAAATATGCCAAATGTTGGCAATTATTATTTACTCGTACTTGAGCCGCGCATTTAATGTGCGCCATAAACAACGTCATGACCGCATTTTCAGGCCAGTTTTCTCTCACCCCATCTTTCTCTCGTTCGGAGAAACAAAGTAAACACACATACATACATATAGAAAGAAAAACGAAGCGTGGCGCATTGAAATGTAACAAAAAGTTCCCAACCAAGTGGCCACAAGAATTGAGGCAAATTTCGGGCTGGGATATGTATAATGGGCGTATGTGTAATGGAATTTTTATGGGATGTTGAATGCTTACTCGGCCTTGTTATGGCCTTATATTTTCGTTCGTAATCATTGAAAAGTATTGCCTGATTTACCTCTAGTTTTTTATGCTCAGTGTGCACTAAAATGTACTTTTGTGGCTGCATTCCTATGCTATCTCTTATTAACTTATTCAAATGCGCTAAAACATCCTCAATGCCATTTACCTTTGGGAGATGTCTGTGGCAAAAGCCTGAGCTCCTGGCTTAACAATTTTAGTCCAGATCTGTCTACAACAAAATTATATTGTTAAGGGTTATGTTGGCACCAAGGATATTTAACAGATGTTTTTGGTATTAATTATTGATACAAAATATAAGCGGATTGATTGTGTATGCGCGTTAGTTAATAGTTATTATTCGTGGCTAATATATGATTGATTGTGTATGCGCATTAGTTAATAACTATTATTGGTGGCTAATATATGAAGGCAGGCCAACTTGTAAGATATTAGATTCTCCTAGAATGATACGTTTTGAAAAATTTCAGTTTACTGTGATTTTCTATGCACCTTGCATGGCATTCTTAAAGTTTTGTGTTACCATACCATACATTTAGATTGCAGCTCATACAAGCAGTGATAAGAAATAATTTACGATTCGCACAGCCTAGTAGTTATTGCAAATCAAAGATAGTCGATCTGAACCGCAGACATAATACATAGTTTGACAATTAAACACATATAACCATATAACGTTGTTGTTGAATTCAAACTCGTTTCATTTGGGTGAATCATGGCTTGGCTATAAATTCCAAACAGCTGGTATAAACATGAATTACCATTCCACAAAAAATAGAGACACTGCTTCAAATTAACGGATTATATAATAATATTTCATAAATATAAATAAATAAATAAATAAATATTTCATAAAGTTTCATGATTGTGATATAATTTATGTTATTAAAAAAAATGTGAACATTTTGTATGTGTTTGTAAACGAAAAATATTTACTTGAGAATTAATTTCTGGCAAACCTACAGCTGGAAATCTAACATCTTTACTCTCCTTTGCCTTTTAACTAATCGTGGAATTTTTCTTTTGAAGCGGGCGGCAACCAAAGTATTTGCGAAATTTGACAACAATTCTGTGAATTCCTCATTCCCATACTGCTGACACACTTTCCTAACTGATTCATCAACCCTTGCCTCAACTGGAACATTTATTTGCTCATTCACGTATTATTAAATACACTGGCTCTGACTTTTATTTGACCATTTGTGTGCGCGCCTATAAAATGTAATTAATTTGCCCGTGGCATGCAAAGCTGTCAGAATTCATTTCAACTATAAATTTTACAATGAATTACAATGTGCCGTGGCAAGCGCAAAATCACACGCTAAATGCCAAATGCCAAAGGGCCGATGTATTTTCAATTAAAGTTCATCATACGCCCCGTTGCGCGTCGGGCCAAATAATGACCGGTTCGCGTCTGCTTATGAAGTCGTCTCACATAGGCAAAGCCTTTCGGAATTTGTTGCGGATTCGTTGAACAGCCGCCAATAGGCCGGTCACGAATTACCAAGGCGCTGACTGTGAGTTAATTACAAGAAATGCGCAAATGACGGACAATTATATTGAACACAAAAGTCAGGCTGCTTGTTGAATAAGTGGCCAGCTCTAAGCCCTGTGGTCGCGTCGCTAATATATGCAACTACCTTTTCTCGGCTCCAGTCGCTCGCTAATTGCAATCGTCGATTGGCAAAGCAGAGGCAAATTTTTGCAAATATCAGGCCAATTGGCCCAATGCCTGGCCGAACTAAGCAAACGTCATGCAATTAATTAAAAATTCAACTGACTAAGGTAGATCATGAGAACTGAGAAGAGAAGAGAAAAGAAAAGAAAAGAAGAAGAGAAATCGGCGGGGTGCTGTAACTAGAAATTGCAACGAAAGTTAAATATTTTAACATGGTGAAATGCAAAATAATTTGAATGTCAGCAACTGACTGCTGGGCAAATCAAACGAGCGATTGAACAAGCAAGCTACAATCAAAATGAATAAATGAGCGCATGAATGGAAAGCAGCGCGAAAGTGGGAATGGGAATGGGGCAAGGGAAAGGGAAGAGAGAAAGTTGCCAAAAGTAGAAAAAGCGTTAGCGAAAAAATTGAGCAAACTTTTCGACGTCATTTTTAATGAAATTTCAACAAAATGTAACAAACGCTCCTTCAAAGTGTGTTGAAATTGGCGCATGGGGGCAGGCATACGAGGAGCGGGCGAAAATTGCAATTAAAATTACTGAACGAAGGCCAACAAGTAGTCAGCCAGCGATGTATACCGGCAGAGAAGTAGGCAAAAAGCTGGAATAGGTGCAGACAGAACTTGGCCAAATTAATAATAATTTCGCATTGATTGTGTGCCAACAAAATCAAGTTAGGGAAGTCAATATGAGGGAGGAATAAAAAACGAAAAAAAAAAAACACAATCATAGCGTTTGGCATAATTAAAAATGTTCGAATACAAATGCAGTGCGAAGGTCAGCAAATGTTTGAAAAGAAAAGTGAAGATTGAGAAAATTAAAGACTAAATTACTGAACTGTCATCGTTAACATTAATGACATACTTGTATATAAGCAGTTCGTCTAGTAGCCCACGAAAAATGATACTACCAGACTATTATTAGCTACACAGGTCAGACTGTCAATACAATGGCGTGTTGTCTAATAAATATACATATACTTACTTATATATACGAGTATATATTGATTAGCAATAAAAGCCAAAACAAACAAATAATTTAGTTCACAAATATTACATAGTTAATGATTCTGTTTGTATTTTGCTGCCTTTTGACAAAAAACAAATTATATTAGTCTTATTTGTTTAATATAATTAAAGCCCACCAAGAAACGTATTAGTTTTCTAGAACTACTAAAGTAGTTAGGACTAATACTTAGCATTAAAACTTTCTGTGTGCGTATGTATGCGATTCTTTTTCTCTCTTTCTCTCTTACTCAAACTTTTTCGACCTGAAAACAAATTCGAATTTATAAATTATTTACCATACGATTATACTTTTAAATGTGAGAATTCTTTATATTCAGAATTTAAATTGACTTTTTCATTAAACATTTTTCAAGCTTGTTGAATAGAGACAGTGAACAATTAAAATGTTGTCGTGATTGTCTGAAAGCATTTCTGAAGGGGCCACACGTTAAAAAATTATTGATTTTCGTAAAGAAAGATACAACTATTTTACGTTATATTACATTTAATTAAGTTGGCTCTAAGCTCACGTTAAAATATTTAAAAGCCATAAACATTTACCAAAAAATTTAAGCCTACTCCTGATGCATATGTATTCCTACTGTTTTCTTTAATACTGTAAAATGTACATACAAAGTTAGCTGAATGTCCTAGAAGCCATTGCTAATATAATCTCTTGTTAATTTTGAGATTTTAATTTAAAGCTAGCATTATATAAATAAATGAATAAGTTGGCTATTTCTGTGTCGATTTTTGTGAAGATCGACAAGAAAATACAGGCCAACGCGTTTTAAATGAACATA